GCATCTCTGTCTCTCTTCCGATGTTTATGTCTCCGTGTGTCTGTGTGCCCTCCTTCCTTATCCCTTTAGCTCTTTTTATGTCTTTTTCTCCAGGTCTTTGTCTTAGTCGTTCTTCAGTTTTCTCTCCTCCAATATCTCCCTTTCTCTCTCTTCCTCTGTGTCGCTCTCACTTTGCTCTCGCTTGATCTCTGGCTTCCCACTCTTTCCCCTTTGGTCAGCCGAATGGAGCTCAATGAGGCAAAGTCCCTGAGGACCAGCCTAGTTGGAACCCCGACCTCCACTGCCCACAGGATTCCTATTTACGTTGAGCAATCTTAGGAGAAGTTGACTCTCATTGTTACCGAGTCCAAGCTCGTTCTGCTCGCCGCATGACAGGCCAATAAATCAAGAGAGGAGGTGTTGGGGCAAGGAATAACAACTTTATTTGGAAAGCTGGGAGTCTAAGAAGATGGCAGACTAGGGTCCTAGAGAACCGTCTTGCAGGGGGTCTGGATGCGAGTTTCCTTTTTGTTAATTAATTTATTTTTGGCTGAGTTGGGTCTTTGTTGCTGTGCACGGGCTTTCTCTAGTTGTGGCGAGCGGGTGCTACTCTTCCTTGCGGTGCTTGGGCTTCTCATTGCAGTGGCTTCTCTTGTTGCGGAGCATGGGCTCTAGGCGGGCGGGATTCAGTAGTTGAGGCTCACGGGCTCTAGAGCGCAGGGTCAGTAGTTGTGGCACATGGGCTTAGTTGCTCCGCGGCATGTGGGATCTTCCCAGACCAGGGCTTGAACCCGTGTGCACTGCATTGGCAGGCGGATTCTTAACCACTGCGCCACGAGGGAAGCCCTGGATGCTAGTTTCTTTTATAGAACAGAGAGGGGGCAAGTGAGGAGGTAAAGTAAAAAGCCCATACGTTTTGCAAATATCTTCTGGTTTCACCAGACTCAAGGAGGGGATATGTTAATTTCTTCTTTCCTGCAGTCATTCACAGGTGGCTTGGGTCAGGATGTTTCCCTGCGAGCTGAACAAAGGTATTTTAGTTTAACATTCAGGCAGAGGGGGCAGGGTTACCTGAGACGGGCAATTATGTATGCTTCATGCAATAGGCAACATCCTTTTAGTGATTAACTTGTAACAAATGCAACAGAAATCAAAGGTTAAAGTAAAAGAAACAGATCTAATATGGAGTCAGATTTGTTATTCCCTATTACAATTCCCCACTGTCAATGTCCATTCCACAATCTTACGGGAAAAGGGGCAATGACCCCTCTGGCTACTTCCTGCTAAATAGGGGTGATGTGGGTGATTGTAGAATGGAATTGATCAGCCTTGGGTTGATAAGAATATTCTATTCTAGTCTAAGAATAGTCCTTAGAATCTTTGGTAGATAGGACAATTCTCAATTATTTGAACCCGATGAAATCCCTCAGTCCTTCTCTTGTCTAATTTGTAATTGGAATTGGGGGTTTTGGTTCCAGTTTCTATACATATCTATTAATTTTAACTTTCCGACGGTGTCATAATTACACTAGATTGCTGTGTTGTTCAGTTGAACAAGATTAAACACGTAGGTTGACCCACCCTTCTCCAGCTACAATGAAATTGCAATCTCAATATTTATCTTTTTGGAAGAGCAAACTTACGTCTTCTAAGGGTTCACAAACCCATTGCTCTCTAGGCCTTTTGGGAGTTGGGCCATTTTCTGATGACAGTGGTGCTGCTTTAATCTGAGTGTGATAAATCCATGGCTTTTCTTCAGCTAACTTGACAGATGAGTGCACGGTAAGTAATACCACATGTGGTCCTGTCCACCTTGCAGTCAGCTGAGCTTCAGGCCCTTGTTCTCTCCAGGTTTTAAGGAAGACTCAGTCTCTGGGTCGGAAAGGATGTAAGGCTACTTCAGTTGGATAGGCAGACCTGTTGGAGGCAAACTCTTGAAGAGAGGTCAGTATAGTGCCCCAAATTTTAACTAATTAGCAACAGCTAGATCTTTCAGAGCGTTTACAGACTCCCTGGTCCAGGTAGACACCTGTAATGGCCTACCATAAAATATTTCAAAGGGGCTTAATTTAAGCCTGCTTCTGGGAGCCACTCTGATTCATAGCAGGGCAGTTGGCAGAGCCTTATCCCCAGTTAAATTATTCTCTTGACCTATTTTAGCAGTGCTTCTTTTTAATGTATGATTCATTTTCTCATTTTTTTTCCTGTTGATTGTGGTCCCAGGATGAATGTAACTGCCCATTAATTTGTAGTGCTTTAGACGTCATTTGTTGGATTATGCTAGAGGCAAAAGCAAGCCTGTTATCACTTTGAAGGGTGTTAGGCAGTCCAAACCCGGGGATAATTTCCTTAAGGAGGGCTGGAACCACTTCAGAGAATTTTCCTGTCCTGGTGGGTTATGCTTCCGCCCATCCTGAAAAAGTGTCCACAAACTCTAGCAGATATCTGAAATTTCCTACAGCTCAAGGCATTTGAGTCAATTTTATTTGCCAGTCCTCAGTGGGGCAGGTTCCTCTGTGTTGGGTCCCCATCTGGGGAGGCCTGACAGGCAGTCTTTGGATTATTTTTAGCCCAAATCATGCAATTCTGAGTGACTCACTGGACGGTTTTTTGTAGGTTAGGCCCCATTATATACTTTTGAATCCATTGTAAGGTGGCATCTCTCCCGTGATGGGTACGATTATGAATGTGCTACAGCACAGTGTCCAGGAGTATCTCAGGAATCAAAACAATTCCTTGTGCACTACATTTCCAGCCAGGTGATGTGTGGTCAAGAGTGAAACCCCACCCTTCGGCCCTCTCCTTGTCCTTTTCTGAATACACTGCCTGGTGTTTTGACAAGTCAATCTGTGGGAGAAGTGATCCTATCATGGCTTGACGGTTGCTCCCTTCTTTGCAGCTTTGGTCAGCTAGCCAGTTGCCCTCTATTGTATGAGTCTCACCCTTTTGGTGGCCTGGGCAGTGCATCATGGCCAATTGGGAGGGCTTATGGACTGCTTCTAACAGAGAAACCACTAGGTGGCATTTCGGGGGCTCCAAGGAGCTCCAGTTCTTCATGCCTCAGCACAGAAAGAACTAGGCGAGAGGCAAAGTGATAGATAAGAAGTGATTTATTAGAATAGGACACTTGTGAGGCTTACAAGTGGGCGGGTGAGAGGGTGCTGCACCGTGAGAACTCGGTGGGCTACAGTTTTATAATCAGAGGAAAAGTGGGGAGGGGGAGAAGACCACCTTCTTCCTCATTCTTGAGTAGACGTCACAGTTCCATCATCAGGTCATCCTCCAGGTTGGGCAGGGGAGTTTTCTTGTCCCTACATGGTCAAGCCAGGAGCGTCATGGCACTATGGAAAAATGATTTCAGCTCTCGGTACAGTGAGGGTCTTTCACTTTGAAATGTCACCTTTCCATAAATTATTGTTTTTTATGCGTGCAGAGAGCATGTCCTAGGGGTCATTAACTTACTGAGCTCACTGGGCAGGATATGGGTCTCATGACACCATTGTTTTATTGTTTTGGGGCATTTCTCATGCTTCTGTTCCATGGTTTTATTGCTAAGCAAGCTTGCTTGGTTTTGCGGTTAAGCAAACCTGCTTTCTTGAGTGATCATTAACTTACAGGGGTCTCCCACCCCTTTTTCTTTACCTACAATACCCTAGTGGGATTAACTATTTAATTACCTACTTTGTCCCTTTACTGTCTCTATCAATAGTGACAGGATTTCAGAAGAATGTTTTATGTCTTTATTGTTCGAAGTGAGGAGCCCCTTTTCCTTCCAGATTGCCCCGTGAGCATGCACCACGGAGAACACATAGCAAATAGTCTGTGTATATATTTACTCCCTTGCCTTCAGTGGGAGTAGGGCTCTTGTCAGTGCAATGATTTCCGCCTTCTGAGCTGAGCTCCCTGCGGGGCAGGGCTTTTGCTTCAACAATCTTTTTAAGGTTTACCACCACATACCCAGTGTGTCAGCTACCTTGGTCCGTGCTTCCGTTGGTGAACAGTTCCATATCTGGCTCAGCTGAGGGTTGGTCCGTTAAGTCTGGTCTGCTAGAGTACACTAGCTCAATGAAGTGTAGGCAGTTGTGCTCTGGTGTTTGTGCAGCATCAATTGGGAGCAATGTGGCTGGATTTAGGGCTGAAGTGACCTGAAGTCTTACGTTGGAATTGTCTAAGAGAATGGCTTGGTACTTTCCCATTCTCCCAGAACTCAGCCAATAGCCCCCTTTTTGTTCCAGTAAAGAAAGGACGTGGTGAGGGACATACACAGTGGTGGGTTGCCCCAGAGTAAACTTCTCAGCTTCCTGAAGTCTGTCATACGTAGTGGCTACAGCTCGAAGGCAAGGTGGCCATCCCTTAACAGTCTCTTCTAGTTGTTTTGAGAAGTAGGCAGTGGGTGGGGGGATATTCCCCAGAGCTTGAATTAACACCCCAAGACTTATGCCTTGTCTTTCATGGACATACAATTTGAAAGGTTTCTTTCAGTCTGGTAATCCCAAAGTCGGGGCTGAGACTAAGTTTGTTTTTATTGTTTCAAAGGCTGTTGGGCACTCTTTAGTCCAAGTAAGGGGCTCAACATCATGTCCCTTTAAAGCCTCATAGAGGGGTTTTCCTGTGAGATCCAAATCTGACAGAACCCTGCCATTCCCAGGAACCCTCTCAGTTGCCTGTGGGTCTTGGGTATTCCCAAGCCTGCAATTGCCTGTTTTCTATCAGGCAAAAGATCCCGCTGTCCTTGGGAGAGAAAAGAGCCCAGATAGGTGACTTGCTTACATATCTGGGCCTCTTTCTGGGAGACCTTATATCCACAGCTGGCCAAATAGTTCAGGGTTCTGATGGTATCTTATAGACATTTATCATATGTAGGACTTGCTATGAGCAAATTGTCCACATATTGGAGTTAGAGTCCTTCATCCAATATTAAGTTTCTGAGGTCCCTAGCCAACATTTCCCCAAACAAAGTAGTGTTACTGAATGAATCAGGTCCTGCAGCTTGCCGCTTACAAAATCAATACTCACAAATGTCGGTAGAAAGAAAAGGTGCCTTTAATCAGAACGCCAGCAATCTGGGAAGATGGTGGCCTCAGCCCAAAACCACCTCCAAAGATTCTGCTCAGGCATCAAAGTTTTGAAAGGGAAACAGAGAAGGAATCTCAGTTAGTCATTGAGATGGGGGTCAGAGTCAGCGCCACCGCCCACTGTGTGCAGGCTTGTCGACTTCTGATCTTCCTCTAGACATTATCTTGTTCACAGAGTTTGCTCACACAGTTTGTTCCAGAGATTACTGAAAGGGAAGCTAGGGAAGAGATCTGGTCATCTGTTAATTACTTATTCTTCATTTTTACTGCTTTGATCTATGGAAAGAACCGAAAAGTTAGGTAAGGTATTGTTTGATTAAAAGAGCTGAAAGGTGTGCTTGGGTCAGATATGAGTAGGGCATGGGGCTGCTTGGTTTAAAAGTTAGTTACAATATAGCCTTGCTAAAGTGACAAGGAAAGAGGCTTCCTGCTGAGGGCGGTTTCCTGCAAAGAGCAGCTTACAGTAGGGGAATTCTTAAATCCTTGAGGCAGGACAATCCAACAATACTGTTGGACTACCTGTGTTTCTGGGTCCTGCCACGTAAAAGCAAATAGCTGCTATGATTCCTCTGCAATAGGAATGCAGAAAAAAGCATCTTTCAAGTCCCAAACCGAGAACCAGCCGTATTCTCCAGCAATCGTTGTGAGCACAGTGTATGGATTAGGTACCACAGGGTGCAAATCTTGGACTATTTCATTAATAGGCCTCAAGTCTTGGACAAAGCAATACTCTGCTGAGTTTGGCTTTGACCGGGAGAATAGGGGTGTTGTTCAGGGACTTGCAAGGTTTAATCAGTCCTGTTTTCAAAAACTTTTCGAGAATTGGCTGAATTCCCTTTTGGGCCTCTTGACTCAGAGGATATTGTTTTAGATTAGGTGTCCCAGCATTCCTTTTTAATGGGATTCATATTGGCCATGCATTTTTGGCTTTCCCTGGGGTGCTGTCAGCCTACACTTCTGGCCTTACCTTTTCGTAGACTTCAGGGGGGAAAAGAGCTCTGTCTCCTTTTCTGGGGTTTCCGTGAGCCCCATCTGTAGGCTCAAAGCGTGCTCTGGTGGGTCCCTGATGTCAAGCTATTCTGTCAAAAATATTACTTGAGCTTTTAATTTACAAAGGAGGTCCTGTCCCAAAGGAGGGATTGGACACTCTGGCATATATAAGAAAATGTGTTTCAGGGTGAGGTCCCCTAGTTGACATTCTAGAGGTTGTAAGAATGAACGATTTTGTACTTCTCCAGAGACTCGCATGACCAGGATGGATTGAGATGTTTTCTGTGCCACCTTGGTGTTTACCACAGAATATGTTGCACCCATGTCTATTAGAAAGTCAATCAACTTGTTCCGCACTGTCAAAGTTGCCCGGGACTCCTGTGGGGAGATTGGAATTTGATGCGTCAAGTCCAAGGGAGCCCCCGGGCCTCTTCGCTTACCATGAGCTTTCCTCTCTTTCTACCATGCAAGAGAGCCTCCCTGCTTCCTTTTATCGTTTTTGTTCCTGTTTCAGCCTAGGGCAATCTTTTTTCCAGTGCCCTTCCTCCTTACAGTAAGCCCATCGTTCTTTCCCCAGTGGTGGCTTACCTCTCTTTGGGTTACTCACCTTCTGGGAATCCAATGCTGCTGCCAGAAAAGTGGTTCTGTTTTGCATCTTCTTTCTTCTGTCGTCATCCCCTGTTGTTGAACACGTTAAAAGCAACACCTACCAACTGAGAAGGGTCCATTCCAAATGCACCATCTAACTTTTGTAGTTTTCTTCTTACATCTGGGGAGCTTTGCCCGATGAAGGTCATATTTGCCATCCTTTTATTCTCAGGGGCCTCAGGATCTGCATCCCTGTAGCATCTATGAGCTTGATAAATTCTATAAACTCTGATGGATTCTCACTGGGTTTTTGTTCTATCTCCTGAATTTTGTTTAAGCTCTTTTGCCTAGGTACCCCCTTTTGAAGACCCGCTACACTTTCTATTGATATAATGCTCTGCGTGTGGCATGCGTCCATTTTTAGGTCCCAATTAGGCTCAGCAATAGGAATGCCAGATTTGCTTCTGGGGTTTCACCTGGATCCGCTAGATGGAGCTGGTGTGCTTCCTCTCTAGCCTTGTCAACAACCATCCTCCTTTCATCCCCAGTAAGCATCCTATTCATGAGTGTGAATGTCCGCCCGAGTGGCATGTTGAGTGGCAAACAGATATAAGGAGTTCAGTCATGCAGAGGGGGTCCTCTCGGTAAGCAGAGTTATGGTCTTTCCAGTTAAGCAAATTGTAAGGCACGGCACCAAAGACGGAGGAGAGCTTAAACAAGCTTTATTTGGGAACGCTCCCGGGCGAAGTTCACTGGTCCGAGAGAAAGGGGCCAGAGAAGTCGCGCCGGGGTGCGGGCATGAACAAAATTTATAGGGGCGGACGCAGGGGAGGTGCTTGCTGTGTGAAGCAGCCCTTTTTTGGTAATCTCTCGGGTGTTGTGGCAATGTCAGGTGTCGGTTGCATCAGCCACTTTGGCGGGGGTTCCGTCTGGCTCCCTGGGCCCTTCCCTGGACCTGCTGGCCTTACATCCCGACTTCTTTGGTGTAATGGGGCGATGTTTGGTCTCTGGCTACTTCCTGCTGTACGGGGGCGCCGGAAGGGAGTCGGGTGGCCAGCGGTCCGGAGGTTAGGGGAGAGCGGCCGCGGGGGGTTCTGTGGGTAGTAAGGTATATGCGTGGAGTAGCATCTGATTCACCGCCACCTGAGAGACTTCTTGTATACGGCTGCGGAGAAACCTGAGGAAACAGGGGGCAAGCATGAATAGGATGCAGATAAGGACTAAGGGGCTCGGATTGGTGTCAGCCAGGTATAGAGGGTGGACCGCCACCAATCGGGGGTGGGGGAGGTGGATTGTCGCTGCCTGCGTTGGAGTTCTTCTTTTAAGCGTCGGAGAGCATCTACATTGTCTTCAACGACCCCTGTCTCGTTGATGTAGTAGCAGCACTCTTCCTGTAGGAAGAGGCAGGTACCTCGTTTGTCGGCTGTCAGAAGGTCCAGGGCGCGTTGATTTTGGAGGGCAACTCGGGCTACTGAGGTGATCTGGCGCTGGAGGGAGGTGATGGAGGCGGCAGAGGCCTCGATGGCTAGCTGGAGTTTCTGTTCTAGGTCGCGGGATGTTGAGACACTGTGTGTTAGGGCTCCTCCCCTGATGCCCGCAGCGACAAGAGAGGAGGCGACAAGAGAGGTGGCGAGGGAAATGCCTGCGACCATAGGGAGAAAGATAGCCCTTTTTTGTCGGCCAAAAAGTTGTGTGGTAAGTGAGAGAAATTCGGCTTGGCCATATAATGTGAGTTGTGGAACAAGGGTGACGGGGATACATGGGAAGGGGGAGGAAGAGTTGACCTCTTTTGTAAGGGAGCCATTACACCAGAAGAACAAGCCTGGTGCGGCCCCCATTGGCGTAGTTACAGGGAGGGATGAATTGCAAGGGAGTGCATCATTAGTTAAGTTTGGACGGCTGCCATCTTGTGGTCAGGGTGGGGTAGTTGGCGTTCTAGGGCCTGTTCGGTCTCCTGGACCATGGTGGCCTGTTCGCTCAAGTGCTGGATGATTTCAGGGATCACTCTGACGTATGAGCGGAAGACCATGATAGAGCCCACGGGGTAGGCATCAGTTGCCCACCGGTAGATTTTTCCTTGTACCCCTTTTATCCATCTTGTGTCCCAGGGATCTTTGATGTTGATGAATAATTGACCCTTGCCATTTGTGGTGAGCAGGTGGGATTGTCGGAGCGAGCTCCTGGTATCTAGTTTTGCCACATGGATGTTACATGAGTGATAGGGGCACCCCCCATAGGTCTCATTCCACCATTGACAGTAGTCTTGGGTCTGATCATAAGCGAAGCAGACAGTGGGGGTGGACCAACCCAGGGGAACACCTTCTATGTTAGAGATGGGGATCTGGATCGTCACCAGGGCCTGGCACCCATCTGGTTGGCAGTCTCCCGTGCCCAGGACTCGGGCGTGGGTCCGACCTTTAGCTTGCCATGTCCCATGGACATGGAAGCGCCATAGGGACATCTGGCGAGTCCTGGGTGGCAGGAGGAGCAGCAGGAGGAGAGACAGGGTGACGGACAAGCTGTAGTCTCGTGGGACCCAGCGGTAAGGCCGTCCAAGTCTCTGGAGTTGGGGCCATTTTAAGGCGGGAGACATGGTACCAGGAGGGGTGTCCCAAGAGTTTAGCTGCTGTGGGAGTGGTGAGGATCACCGTATGGGGCCTGTCCACTGTGGCTTGAGAGATTGGGGGTGTAATTCTTTGAGGAGGACGCTATCGCCGGGTTGTAGGGAGAGAGGAAGTTTCAGAGGCCGTGACCGTCGGCAGGTTGTGGTCAGCGTGCTCACGGAGAAGGTGGCGAAGCAGAGACAGGTAGGGGAGGTAGGAAGCTAGGGGTGGGTTTTGGGTTGGTAAGTTATGGAGGAGAAAAGGGTGGCCGTAGAGCAGTTCAAATGGACTGAGACTAGAAGGGGTCCGAAGTGAGGCTCGGATTCGGGTGAGGGCAAGGGGGAGCAGGTTGGGCCACGAGATACGGACCTCAAGGGACAGCTTGGTGAGGTGGTCTTTCAAGATTCCGTTGGCACGCTCAATCTTACCGGATGACTGGGGGTGGTAGGGGATGTGGAGTGTCCAGGTGATCTGAAGAGCCTCGGATACCTGTTGAACCACCTGAGAGACGAAGGCGGGTCTGTTGTCTGACTGGATGGAGATCGGCAGGCCAAATCGGGGGATGATATGTTGGAGAAGGATGGTGGCGACTGTATCCGCCGTTTCTTGGGCCGTTGGGAAGGCCTCGATCCAACCTGAAAAGGTGTCAACGAGAGTGAGCAAATATCGGAAGCGTTTACAGTGGGGCATATGGGTGAAGTCAACCTGCCAGTCCTCGCCAGGTTGGTGTCCGCGCATCTGGTGAGTAGGGATTCGGGGCCGTAGGCCTCCTTGTGGAGAGACGGACACGAAAGTCTGGCAAGCCGCGTGAGTTTTTGAGATGGCACCTCTGAGTCCAGGCATGTAAAAGAGGGGATCTAGGAAACGGAACATCGCCTTCAGGCCAATGTGTAGGGACTTGTGGATGTCTGCTAGGAGGCTGGCCGCTTGGGCTGAAGGGAGGGCAACTTTGTTGTCCATAAAAATCCATCCTTTTTCGGTCCTGTGGCCCCCTTTGGATAGTAGGGCCGTCTCTTCGTGGGGGTCGTATGCGGGTCGGATTGAGGTGGTGAGGAACAAGATCGGAGCTGGAGGGGCCTCTTTGGCGAGCTCGCGGGCCGCGGAGCCGGCCTTGGAGTTACCTTGTGCTGTTGGGTTAGAGGGAGCCGGTGGCCCCTGCAGTGGGTGATTGCCACCTCCTCGGGCAGCTGGAGGGCCTCCAGGAGTTTTGCGATGAGGGAGGCGTTAACCACCGGGGAGCCCTTGGTGGTCAAAAATCCGCGTTCCCTCCGAAGAGCTGAACGGCTGTGCGCAATCAGGAAGGCGTATTTAGAATCTGTATAGATATTGACCCTTCGGCCCTTAGAGAGGTCGAGGGCCCGCGTGAGTGCGATCAGTTCAGCCCTTTGAGAGGCTGTCCCTTCTGGGAGGCGGTTGGCCTCGATAATGGTTGAGATGGTTACTACCGCGTAGGCCGCCTGGCGGCGTGTCCGTCGGGGCCGAGTATAGAGCTGCCATCTACGAAGAGGGTGCGATCCGGGTTTAACAGTGGAGTATCAAAGAGTCCCTCCCTCGGCTGAGGGCCTCTACGACTTGGGGGCAGGAGTGGGAAGGGGAGGTCCTGGTATCGGAGATAGGCAAGAGGGAGGCCGGGTTTAGGCGGGGTGGGGGGGGGAGAGGTCGAGGGAGATAGCAGGGTTTTCAATGAACAGCAGGTGGAATTCCTGGATGCGGGAGGGGCCCGAGAGAGAGAGAGACTTATGGCCGAAGAGGTCGGCCAGTCGGTGGGAGGAAAATACAGTCAGCGGGCGGGCCATGGTCAGTTTGAGTGTTTGTTTGGTCAGTTCAGCTGCTGCTGCCGAAGCTCGGAGGCATGGTTGCCAACCCCGAATGGTTGGGTCAGGTTGTTTGGAGAGGTAAGCCACGGGGCGGTAGGAAGGTCCTACGGGTTGGGCAAGGAGTCCAGTAGCTATTCCGATCCGTTCATCTACAAAGAGGTGGAAAAGACGGTCTGGGTTAGGCAGAGAAAGGGGAGGGGAGGATATCAGGGTGTCTCTGAGGGTGAGAAAGTCCTGTCGAACAGTGGAGGGAGAGGTAAGGGGTCCTTGGGGGGTTTCTTTAGCAGCTAAATATAGGGGCTTAGCAAGAAGAGCAAAGTTAGGGATCCAGTGTCGGAAAAATCCTATTAGGCCCAGAAAGGAGAGAATCTGGTCAGCTGTCTCTGGAGGTTGGAGGTCGCGGATGGCCTGGGTGCGGTCGGCTGTCAGGCTCTTTGTTGTGGGGGTAAGGTGAATCCCCATGTAGGTTACTGAGGGTGTAGACAGTTGGGCCTTGGTTGGAGAGACCCGAGAGCCGAGATAATTGAGGAGGTCAGCAGTGTGCTGATTTGAGAGTTTGAGAGATGGGCTACAGAGGAGGAGGTCATCCACATATTGGAGGACTATAGTGGGGGTGAGAGGGCAGGAAGCGAGGTCCCGCGCCAGAGCCTGGCCAAAGAGGTGGGGGCTGTCGCGGAAGCCCTGGGGAAGAACCGTCCAGGTGAGCTGGCGGGAAGCCTGGGTATCCGGATCTGTCCAGGTGAAAGCAAAAAGGAAGTAGGAATCAGGGTGTAGGGGGATAGAAAAGAAGGCGTCTTTGAGATCGAGGACCGTAAAATGGGTGGTGGACGGGGGAATATGGGAGAGCAAAGTGTATGGGTTTGGCACAACTGGGTGGAGGAGAATTATCGCCTCATTGATCAGTCGGAGGTCCTGGACCAGGTGGTAATCTCCTGAGGCCTTGCGGACAGGCAGGATGGGGGTGTTGCAGGGAGAGTCCGTGGGGATGAGCAGCCCCTGGTCTAAGAGTCTGGTGATAATAGGTCGTAAGCCCCTTAGATGAGTTTCAGAAATGGGGAATTGGGGCCTGGATGGAAACTTGGAGGGGTCTTTAAGACGGATTAGGACAGGGGTGTGGTGTGTCGCTATTATGGGTTTTGATGTATCCCAGACCTGGGGGTCTATCCGGTTGGGGGAGATGGGAGGAGGAAGAGAGGAGGGAGGGGGCTCCGCTGCCAGACCGAGGAGGGGGAGCAGGAGTCGAGAGGAGGAGGCCTTAGGATCAAGCCTGGCAAGTTATAGAGAGGCCCCTAATTGGAAGAGAACATCACGACCTAGCAGAGGAACCGGGCAGGACGGTATGACTAAGAAAGAATGAGTAAAAGGGAGCCTCTCGATGTAACATGAGAGGGGGCCGGTCTGGAGCGGGAAGGACGGCTTACCGTCGATGTCCGTAACCGAGATCTGGGAAGGAAAAACTGGCCCGGAATATGTAGGCAAGACCGAATAGGTAGCCCCTGTGTCCACCAGGAATGAGATGGACTTACCCGCTACCTGTAGCGTTACCCTGGGCTCGGCGAGGGTGATGGGGGTCTTTGAGTCCGGGTGTTGTCAGTCGTCAGCCAATCCCAGGAGTTCGAGTGGTGGAGCCGTTGCGTCGGTCCGCCCTCCACGTGGAGGCGCTGAGGGAGGGCCGGCCGTAGGGCAGCCACTTTTCCAATGGCCTGTTAGCCTGCAGCCAGGGCAGGGCTTGGAAGGATGCCGGGGATTGGGACATTGGCGAGCCCAGTGCCCCTCTTTTCCGCACTTGAAGCAGGCCCCTGGTGGGGTTGCCTTCGGCGGGTCCCGTGGATGTTGTCCATGGGAGATGGCCAGCTGCAGGGTGGCTACGAGGGCTTGGGTTTGGAGAGCCACCCTTTTCGGCTGGACTCTGCCAAATCTTCACGGGCATTGTAGACTTTAAAGGCCATTTTTACCAGGTCTCGGATGGGAGTCTGGGGGCCGTCCTCTGCCCGCTTAAGTTTTTTTCTGATATCAGGGGCTGATTGGGTGGTAAAGTGGGTGGCCAAGACCGTTGCGCCTGCGGGGGTGTCAGGGTCCAAGCGGGTGTAGAGAGTTAGGGCCTCTGTAAGGCGGTTGAGAAAAACGGCTGGATTTTCATTGGGCTCTTGGGTTATCTCTTTTAGCTTTTCGAAGTTGACAATCTTGTGGGAGGCAGCCTGCATACCAGCCAAGAGGCATTGGATCATTAGATTGCGTTTGCGGAGACCGTCTTGGCCGTCCTGATAACTCCAGCCCGGATTGGTGCCAGGCACGGCAGTGGCTCCGACGGGCATAGTTATCAGTGAGGTGGACCTGATCTGCGTGGTTTCGGGCAGCAGTTTGAATTCGTTCCCTCTCGTCGGGGGTCAGAGTAGAAGATAGGATCACAAATATGTCATGCCAGGTTAGATCGTAAGCTTGAGAGAGGTAGCAAAATTCTTTGATGTAGTGGGAGGAGTCAGCAGAAAAGGAGCCTAATCGCTTTTCTATTTGAGAGAGATCTTGGAGGGAAAAGGGAACATGAACTCTAACCAATCCTTCCGCTCCGGCCACCTGTCTTAAGGGACCGAGAAGGTTTGGGTCTTGGGAGTCGTGGTGGTGAGAGCGGGTGTGTGAGCTGATTGGCGAAGAGAGGGGTGAGGAGAGAGAGGTGGAGGGGGAGGAAGCGGGGGAAGGGGAAGCCAAGGGGGAGGTTGCCAGGGGAAGCGGGGGAGCGGTGGGGGGGCGCTGGAGTGGGTTCGGGAGGGAGAGGGGCCGGTCCAGGGTAGGGTGGGGGTTGGAGAGGAGCTCTGGAGGGGGGAGAGGCGAGAGATTCGGGTGGGTCGGCGAGTGGAGAGGGGTCATCGTCAAAGGAAATTAGGGGCTTGGATGTAGGAGATGTCTGTTTGGCAAGAAGGATCTGGGAAGTGGAACAATCGACGCAGAGGGAAAGGGCGGGAGCGTAAATACCAGAAGGCCTGGACGTAGGGGACCTCGGACCATTCACCCGTCCTGCGGCAGTAGTTATCTAAATCGCGGAGGATGTTGAAATCCAAAGTCCCTTCAGGAGGCCATTTAGATTGATTGTCTAGAGGGTACTGTGGCCAAGCCTCGGTGGAGTAGAATATGAGCCGCCTGCGGCGGAGATCTTGAGAAAAGCCGAGTTTTGTAAAGTTGGCCAGGAGACACCGCAGGGGTGCCTTAGGATCTGGTTTGTATTCTGAAGTCCCCATGACCTCCGGTCTGTCCCCGGGTGAACAGAGAAAGAGAGAGACGTCTCTGGTCTCAATCTCTGGTCACGGCGGATCGGAGAGCAGTCAAGCGGTTGGGACGTCTCCACAATCGCCCGAGGCTCGGAGGGAGGATGGAGGAGTCCCTGACGCGGCCGCGGTTAAGGACAGGGAGTCCGGTGGGTAGGGACCCTGGGGGTCGAGGGGAACGAAGGAGGAACTTACCCCGCTTCTGCCGGATCGGGTGGGTGAGCAGAGGCCCCCGGTCGTTCCCTGGGGGGGGAGGGGTGGCCCCGCGGTAATTTGTGGGGCTGGGTACCCCTCCCGGGTTTCGGCACCAAATGTAAGGCACGGCACCAAAGACGGAGGAGAGCTTAAACAAGCTTTATTTGGGAACGCTCCCGGGCGAGGTTTACTGGTCCGAGAGAAAGGGGCCAGAGAAGGCGCGCCCGGGTGCGGGCATGAACAAAATTTATAGGGGCGGACGCAGGGGAGGTGCTTGCTGTGTGAAGCAGCCCTTTTTTGGTAATCTCTCGGGTGTTGTGGCAATGTCAGGTGTCGGTTGCATCAGCCTCAGAGCCGTTGGTTCCGCCCCTCGGGGAGCGGGAAGACCGGGGCCGAGTGGTGTGGCAATGTCAGGTGTCGGTTGCATCAGCCACTTTGGCGGGGGTTCCGTCTGGCTCCCTGGGCCCTTTCCAGGACCTGCTGGCCTTACACAAATATGAAGTTGAGAATGGATTGTGCATCCATAGAAACCTATCTGGTTGGCCATTTGCATTAAAGCCTTCTATGGGATATCAGCACAAGGGAAATTTCCCAGCTCCGGAAGTGGCTCCAGGTCCAAACTGAGTGCGCTGTTGGGTTTTAAATGGTGATACCAAACCAGGTCTCCGTGCCCCAGCGGTTAACCTAGAAACGTCTACTTGATCCCCATTAGTAGGGGAAACAGGAGGCGGTAAAAGGGGTGAATATATTGGCGGCATGCGGACGGTCGGCACAGCTGCTGGTACAATCGGCTCTGCCGGTGGGGGAAGCGGATAGGCTACAGTTCCGGGTTTTTTTTCTTTTTTGTTTGTTTGTTTTTTGCGGTACGCGGGCCTCTCATTGCTCATTGCTGCGGCCTCTCCCGTTGCGGAGCACGGGCTCCGGACGCGCAGGCTCAGTGGCCATGGCTCACGGGCCCAGCCGCTCCGCGGCATGTGGGATCTTCCCGGACCGGGGCACGAACCCGTGTCCCCTGCATCGGCAGGCGGACTCTCAACCACTGCGCCACCAGGGAAACCCCCGGGGTAAGTTTTGACATAACATGTCCCCGCTGTCATTTCCTCTCTCTCCCTCTTGTAGAACAGATTTTCCCTTGGGTTTCCTTTCAGACCGATGCACCGTAAGGCGTTAGCCCTCTGACTCCTTTTCCTCCTGATGTAATAGTATAAATGCTTCAGTGTGTAGGATCTTGTTATTTTCCCCTGCTCTTTCACAAAACAATTCTAACTGCAAGATCGTATAATAATTGAGTGAGTTATTCAGGGGCCATCGCTCTTCTGATCCTAACACACATTGTGGCCATACACTATTACAATATAATATCATCTCTTTCTTAGGTCTAGGCTTGTTATCGAGTCCAAGCTCATTCTCCTTGCTGCAAGACAGGCCAATAAATCGGGAGCGAAGGTGTTGGGGCATGGAATGACCACTTTGTTTGGAATGCCGGGAGTCCGAGAAAATGGCGGACCAGTGTCCTAGAGAAGCATCTTACTAGGGTCTGGATGCTAGTTTCTTTTAGAGAACACGTAAAGGGGGAGGTGAGGAGGTAAAATAAAAGGCCATGAGTTGTTGCACACATCTGGCTTAATCCAGACTCCCGGAGGGAATGTATTAATTTCTTGTTGCCTGCAGCCATTTATAGGTGGGCTGGGTCAGGATGTTTCCTGTGAGCTGAACAAAGGTATTTTAGTTTAACATTCAGGCATGGGGCTGGGGGTGCGGCAGGGCTCTCAGAGAAGACAGGCCATTATGTATATTTTAAGCTATAGGCAACATTCCTTTAGTGATTATCTTGTAGTAAAAATAGAAAACAAAAGTTAAAATAAAAGAAAGATGTAATACGAAACCAGATTAGTTCTTCCCTGTTACAGCGCCTGATGTAAGGCCGGGCACGTTACAGAAAGCCAGGCTCTTGACATAAAGCTAGGCTCTTGAGGAAAAGCAGGGTTAGGAAAGTTAAACCGGGATAAGACGGGTAATGCCAGATCACCTGACGAAAACCCTGAAAACCTGAGGTCATGCCAGGCAGGAGGAATGCCATAAAGCAGGGTCAGGTGAGGTAAAGCAAAGTCAGCTGATGTAAAGCCTGGAAGTGTCGTAAAGCATTGTCAAGTGGTGTAAAACAGGGTAAGGTAACGTAAAGCCGGGGAAATTAATGTAAGCAAAGCCTGGTAGTGCCGTAAAGCATTGTCAACCGACGTAGAGCAGGGTAAAGTGTCATAAAGCAGGGTCAGGTGACGTAAATGCCAGGAAACTGAGGTAAAGCCTGGGGACCCTTGTATTTAGTGTCAGTTATGTTACAAAAGCTGGGCACATGACGTTCAGCCCAAGGACCAGACCTAAAGAGGGAACGTGAAATAAAGCTGTGGCACCAGCTGTGAAGCCGGGAACCTGAGGTAAGGCCGGGGCACCTGACCTAAAGCCGAGGGGTAAACGTCAGGAAGAAAACATCCTGGATTTCAACCTAGGGGTCTGGCTCCATTCTCTTTGATGCTGTGCCTTGTGGAAACTTGTCACAAGCCTCTAGTGGCTGTGCGTCATCCACATTATATTGACATAGTAGTGTTGGGTGATGTCAGCAAGGTTACTGATAATACACACTTCATGAGTTCATCGTCAGGCAGGTATATCCTTCAATGTTTCCTCCAACTTGTAGCCCCAGAACCCTTCACCCCCCACCCCGCCCCCCGCCCCAGTCTCCTGTAGCTGAGGGAGCCAGGTGGGTCTCAGGCCTCCAACAGGTCCTGTTGAAAGAACAAGACTCTGGCCCTTCATCCCACAGAAACTCTTCTGTCCCATTTCATTCCTTTTCTCCCCGTAGATGACCAAAAGCTTTGTGAGGACATTTGCTGTCTTCTAATTAGCTATGTCATTGATTCTGCTTGAGAACAGCCATGAGGCTGGAGTCCCAAGCAAAGATTTCCTCATGTGGGCTTCGTGACCCATGCCAGTCTCCTTGCCCTGCACGATTCCCTGTAGCTGGGTCTCAGACATGGGCCTGGCCACACAGAACCTCTCACAAAAGGTCTTCTGCCCTCTGAGTTGTCTCCAGGACACTGTGCTGCAGAACAAGGAGTCCTAGAGGATTCCTTACCTGCCTCGGCGTCCTCTGAGCTTCTGGAACTGACCCTTGTGAACCACAATGTGTCCTTTTATGGAGCTATCTGGACACATTGTTCTGGCTCTAATGTTGTACCGTGTGTTCCCTCAAAGTTATCTGTATAACAGGTTATCTGAGTCACAGTATTTGCCCTATGGATTCCTGGATGGTGCTGCGTTTTGAGCAAAACCAGGTTTCCTGGTACACAACACGTGGGATGAAACGGCACCACAAGCAGCTGACCCTGCAGCTCCAGGACTATGGCTTGTTTTCCCACCATGTTCCCTACTGCTTCTCCGTGTTCCTTGTTCTCTGCTTTTTCTTCTCCTTCCCTGCGTTCACTCACTGACCCTGCTCTCCTTCCTCCTCCCCAATGCCTGTCCCTGTTCCCAGCTCTTTTACCACGTTCCCCGATCCCTCTCTTCCTACTTTCTGATCCCGTTGCTGTTCTCTGTGTGATCTGGTCTCTGTTTTTCCTCCCCGTTCTCTTCCCGCTCACTCTCAGCCTGTCTCCATCTATCTGCTCCGTGGCTTCACCAAGACTCCATTTCCTCTTCTCAAATATTTGATTCACTTCTCTTCTCTAGTTGGAGTAGACTGCAGTAATGGAGAGCAGACGGGGACCGACTTTGCTGTACTTTGAACTCTGTAGATAGATTTCAAAACAAATGTGGGTTGCTGCTTTCCTGAATTGCTGTCCCATGAAGAAGCCCCATTTGCATGAAAACATGGAGTTCAATCCACTTGTTGGTGACCGGCTCCTGATGCCCTCTCTGCTTGCCCACTGTCAATGAAACTATATAAATAAGAGCCTCCTGCATTTCACTGCACCTCACCCAGTTGGTTAGTTGTCTTAATCTCTAAGCTCGTAAATCTCCCCAAGGCTGTCAATGTTCCCAAACACTTTAAGACTGCCAGGCTCACCAGTCATTCCAAACACACCGTTCTTGTTAATCCCATCACCCCTCCTCCAAGCCCCCAAAGCTCACTAAGCACATGAATTATCTGCATGTGGGCACTTGTTTTGTTTTGTAAGAATTCACGGAGTTGTACACTTATGATGTTCACACATCAGTATAATAGAATAAGTAAGTATACCCAAATTGTCCTCTCCTCTCTGCCTCTTCATTCTGTGTACTTTGCTATTTGAATTCTTCCTCACCTGCAAGTCACACTCCTGGCGCTTTTTTCCCCTCAATCTCAAGTATAGTCTGCATCTTTACCCCACTGAGAGTATAAAACCTCAAGCTAGAGAGGGTGCTAGATCCAGAGTGTTTTGGGGGTAAGAAAACTTTCATCTTGTGAACCTCTCTTAAAGATCATGGAAGCCTTGAGTCATCTGGGATAGGGAGACAGAACATCTGGCCTGTTTGGAGGGTTGAGTGTTACATTTGACTGGTAAATCCCACAAGGTCTTAGACGCGCACAGGAGATGGTCTTGAGATGTGGGTGTACTTCGAAGAGTAGGGTTGTGCCTCATGGATGCCATTGGCAGCTTGACCCTTTTTCTCTGATGAGCCTGTAAGCCTGGCTCCCAGTCCAAGGCAGGGACAGGGCCATGGCTCATGGGGTAATGGACAGGTCTGTGGAAAAGGGCATGGTGCATGGGGAGAGGTTCCTGTACTGCCTGTGACCTCCTCCTATCTACAATCTGGTTTTCCTCTGAATCCCAGTGGCCCTATATCCCTTTTCCTGCTCCTGTTCTCAGAGGGTCTTTGGGGGATTACACGGCTCGAGGCAGGAGGCACTCACTTTGGGAGTTCAGGCATCATGGCAGACTAGATGAGCTAGTCAAGGCCCATCCTGCCAAACCCTGTCTCCTCCACAGTACCCTGGGGACTTTGAGAGGTCCAGAGCGTGCCTGATCGAATGGATTTAATTCTGAAGTGAGTGATCTCCTGCTGTGTACGGAGAAGATCTTGGAGAATGGTTATGACCTGGGGTCACAGCCCAAGAGGAGAGCCCTGGAGGAGAACAGGGCCACCAGAGCCTGACCTGCCTGCATCCTCTAGCCAAACACCTCCTTGGCCCTGGGCCTTGCCAGGACTGGGAAGGAGCTGATGGTCTGGTTACAGACCAGTGTGTATCCAGAATTTATGAAGGCATGGTGACTGCTTTCTGACCCGTAATTGCCCTCTCACTAAGTCCTTGATTCAATCTGCACATTTCCTTGCTTGACTTGTGCTCTCCTATGATTGCTGCACATAGGGTCTCCAGGGGTCAAGGAGACCTGAGACCTTTTAGGACGTCAACAAGTTGTAGTGCAGACCAGATGAGCTGGTTGAGGCCTCAAAGACTCAGATAAGAGAAAGCCTGCTTCTCTCCCCGTCCCATAATGAGGCATGGACTGGCCTTAGTAATGGCTTGGGCATGGCCAGCCCCGTAGATTGGGGTGGGAGCCACGAGCTATTGACCAGTGCATCTCCTTCCATTGAGGGCCTGACAGGTCTTGGACATTCTTAGGCTGAAGATGAAGCCATTAATGTTGCATATAATTAGCCCAGTCTAGGACCTGGGAGCTTCATAACTGGCTTCAGATCTTTGTGTGACCTGGGAGCTTCATAACTGGCCTCAGATCTTTGTGTGACCTTCCACAAGATCTAGCCAGGGCCTTCCCAGGGCCTAATGTATGGCTACAAGTACTTGAGATCTCTGTTCCCTTCCATGAAATGGGATGATTCTGGTAATTTGCAAAAGGAAATACACCAGAGGTGTTTCACCCATATCTGGACCTGATCTAGATGATAAGATTCCGGATATTTTAGCTTATACTTTAACGGGAGGGGATGAGTATTTTGCCTGTGGAAGTGTTGTGAATTTTAGTGCCAGAGGGTGAACTGTAGTAAACAGCCTCTAAGATATCCTTCGATTATTCCTGCCTCTTGTTGCTCATACTTGTGTGTAAAGACTTCATCTGAGTGTACACTCGATTTAATGACAGTTCTGAGGCATAGAATGTTGCAGAGTAATGGGATGCCATTTGCTGATTAGGTTATAAAGACTGCATCTTCCTTCTTGGGCAAACTCTTTTGATCTCCCTCATCTCTCTTGCTCTAGGGGAAGCCAGCTGCCATGTCATGAGGCAGGTGAAGAGGGTCTCAAGGCAAAAAACTGAGCTCTGCCAAGATCCAAGTAAGTAACCTGCGAGGCATACTCTCCTACACTCGAGTCTTGAGATATCTGTGCTTCTGATTTTCTTCTTGATCATAGTCTCACAAATCATCCTGAACCACAATCACCAAAGCTGAAAAAAGAACCTTTTGAAACATTGGACTTCATTAAACTTTAAATTATGCTATTTGGAAGATGTTGTTAAAAGAATAAAAGGAGGGCTTCCCTGGTGGCACAGTGGTTGAGAGCCTGCCTGCCGATGCAGGGGACACGGGTTCGTGCCCCGGTCTGGGAAGATCCCACGTGCCGTGGAGCGGCTGGGCCTGTGAGCCATGGCCGCTGAGCCTGCGCGTCCAGAGCCTGTGCTCCGCAACGGGAGAGGCCACAACAGTGAGAGGCCCACGTACCGCAAAAAAAAAAAAAAAAAGAATAAAAGGCAAGCAACAGATTAGGGGAAAATCACATAGCTAGTAAAGGACTGTATCTTGAATACATAAAGAACTCTCAAATTTCAACAAGAATATGAATAACCAAATACAAAATTGGCAAAAAATTGAACAACTACTTTACAAAAGAAGTTCTACATATGGTAAATAAGCATATAAAAAGGGCTGAACTAATTAGTCATTGGAGAACTGCAAATTAAAATCACAAAGAGATACTACTGCATATTTAATAAAATGTTTAACATAAAAAAGTAATGAAATTTAAAAAATCAAGAGGATAAACAATAGCATCAACACCACAAGACAGTTAGTGGGAATTTTAGCAAAATATGTGCAAGACCTGTATCCAGGTAACTAGAATTTTGCTGCAAGAAACCAAGAAGATGTAAATACGTTGGGATGTATACTATGATCATTGATTGGAGAACTCCACAGAAGTTTCATTTTTTAATATAATAGTAATGAAAACCGTAATGTGCATTTTTGAGGAAACTTATGAGATTATTTTAATATTTACATGAAAATGCAAATATTTTAGAGTAGTTAAAACCATTTAAAAAATGAGGGAATACCTACACTAGCAGGTTTAATCACATACTTAGGTTATATTAAAGAAATATAGGGCTTCCCTGGTGGCGCAGTGGTTGAGAGTCCGCCTGCCGGTGCAGGGGACACGGGTTCATGCCCCGGTCTGGGAAGATCCCACGTGCCGTGGAGCGGCTGGGCCTGTGAGCCATGGCCGCTGAGCCTGTGCGTCCGGAGCCTGTGCTCCGCAACGGGAGAGGCCACAACAGTGAGCGGCCCGCGTAACGAAAAAAAAAAAAAAAAAAAAAGATATATGATAGTGAGAAAGTTTACACATATAGATCAATGGACCACACTAGAGAACTCCTCCCCCCCACCCCCCACCTCTACGGTGCAACAAAAATGACAAGATAATTCAGTGGGGGAAATGATGGTCTTGCCAACAAATGGAGTTGGAACAGTAAATATTCATACAGAAAAAAAATACTCAACCCTAAATTAACACCATACAATGAATTAATATAAAATACGTCAATCACCTAAGCATAAAAGTTAGAATTATACATTTCTAGAAGAAAACACAGAAGAAAAATTTTCACAGTCTTGGGTTAGGAACGTTTTTTTTCACTTATGTCTCCAAAAGCATCAATCATGCAAAAAAAAAAAAATAGATGAATTGGACTTCAAAATACACCACGAAAATAAAAACAAATAACACAGACTGAGAGAATATGATAGATTAGGTAGATAGATAATTGACAAAGAAATTTTACCAAAGAAAGTGTGCATTTGGTAAATAAGCACATACAAGATGATCAACATCATTAAGGATTGGAGAAATGCAATTTAAAACCACAGTGAGATACCACTGCACATTTAAAAATTTTTAAATGTCTCAAATTCTCAGACAAAGAATATATGGAAAGAACTCTTAATAAGAAGAATACAACCCAATAAAAACGAGCAAAGGGTTCTAATAGATACTTTTTAAACTAAGGTATGCACATGACTAATCAGTACACGACAGATGCTCAATATCATAAACCGAACTGGGAATTCACATTTAATCCAGAATTATCTGGTATTTGTGGCCAGTCCCCTCAGTGTCACTGCAGCCTCCACAGGAAAACAGATTGTCCTTCATTTTCAACCCCCATCAAATCTCCCAGATTGCACAGGCCCATTGATTCATGTTAGGGGAGCCTGGAAAGGGTCTCTGCACACTTTCTCCTCCAAAGGTTTGGGTATATGTGTAAGGATAAATTCTTTAGTCTCTTCATAGCAGGGAATTCCTGAATTGTAACTCCTTTCTTACCCTGGCCAGCCTCCTGTGTTAAATTCCAGGATCCTGGCCATATTAGCAGGAATATGCCTGTCCATGAAATCAACATTTAAACAAATGAACTTTTCCAACCTCCATGTCCCCACCAAAATACAAGGCCTTTAAAAACAGCTCTGGGTGAATGGGGTTGGGTGAATTCCTAGAGCCCAACAAATTCTCTTGAAATTTTAGGACTCTGGATTCCCACAGATTCCCTTGTATTCATCACCTCTTACTGCTTTAACAACTTACCACAACTTCAGTGGCTTAAAACAGTACAAATGTGTCTTATTACAGTTCTGTAGGTTAGAAACCCAACATGGATCTCACTCACCAGGCTAAAAATCAGGACGTCATTGGGAGGGCTTCCCTGGTGGCGCAGTGGTTAAGAATCCGCCTGCCAATACAGGGGACACGTGTTCGAGTCCTGGTCCGGGAAGATCCCACATGCCGCAGAGTAGCTAAGCCCGTGCTCCTCAACTACTGAGCGTACGCTCTAGAGACCATGAGCCACAACTGCTGAGCCCGTGTGCCACACTACTGAAGCCCACACGCCTAGAGCCTGTGCTTGTGCTCTTGTGCTCCGCAACAAGAGAACCCACCGCAATGAGAAGCCCATGCACCACAACGAAGAGTAGCCCCCACTCACCGTAACTAGAGAAAGCCTGCACATAGCAACAAAAACCCAACTCAGCCAAAAAAAAAACCCAACAAATTAATTAATTAAAAAAAAAAGATCATTGGGGATGTGTTCTTTTCTGGAGGTTCTAGAGGAGAACCTGTTTCCTTGCTTTTTCTAGCTTCTACAATCTTCCTATATTCCTTGGGTCATGGTCTCCTGCCTTCATATCCAAAGCTGACAGTGTTGCATCTCTCTGAGTACTCTTCTGTCGCCACATTTACTTTTCTGACTGAGAACTAAGAAAGGTTCTCTACTTTTCAATATTCACACAGTTAAATCGGGTCCACCCAGATAATCCAGAATAATCTCCCCAACTCAGTGTCCTTAAATTTAATCATGCCAACAAACTCCCTTTTGCTATGTAAGGTAACATAATCACAGGTTCTTGGGATTAAGACACAGACATATTGGGAGGGGGGCATTATTCTGCTATGGATTGAATTATGTCCACCCAAATCCATATGTTAAAGCCTTAACCCCCAGTGTGATGGTATTTGGAGGTAGGGCCTTTGGGATGTAATTAGGTTTAGACAGCCGTGAGGATGGGTCTTCATCATGGAGTTAGTGGCCTTATAAGAAGAGACCAGAGAGCTTGCTCACTCTCCACCATGTGAGAATACAGTAAGAAGGCAGTGATCTGCAAACCAGAAAGTGGGCCCTCACCAGAAACCAAATCTGTCATCACCTTGGTTTTGGACTTCCCAGGCTGCAGAACTGTGAGAAATAAACGTCTGTTGTTTAAGCCACCCAGTCTATGCTATTTTATTATAGCCGCTTAAGCTGACTAAAACACTTCCATACTCTTCAGGCCATGCCACGCTCCTATTTTTCATTATAGATGATCAAGGCAACTGAGAGAGTGTATGAGTTCATTTGTATAACGTCTAAGGAGGATAACTATTTACATCCAAAAGTGGACATCGCGGGAGAAGTTGAACTTCTCAGGAGGCACTTACCTTGGTTCCTCATCTAGGCTAAGTTGACCATTGTCCAGACTCCTACCCCTAACCCTTGGTATGTGTTCCTCAAAAGTGTACCCAACCCATCTTCCCAGGACAAAAGGTCCCACTCCCTGCACATTATTCTTCATGAGTCTCCCAGTACTGACCAGCCATGTCCATTCTATACCTGCCCCAGGGTGCCCTGAGTCTCTGGAACAGACTATTTGTAAACCACAACGTGTTCTTGTCTGTGGATATCTACACACTGAGGTGGCTCTGGGCTATGACCTCTGTTCCCATGAGCCTTTCTGAGTCACAAGAAATTAAAACTGAATATATGCAGCAGGAATTACTAGGGATGATTTCTAGCTGGGAGTAGCAGCAAGGCAAACTCTGGGTCTACAAGGGAGAATGCAACTATGCTATTTTAGACTGTGTCTTGGGCTTGTTGAATATTATATGGCATGGTTCCTTTTATTTATTTATTTATTATTTATTTATTTGGTTTATGGTATTGCATTTGCTTTTTTTTCTTCCAGTTGTATTGAGATGTAATTGATATACAGCACTGTATTAAGTTTAAGATGTACAGCATAATGATTTGACTTATTTATATACATCATGAAATGATTACCACAATAACTTTAGCGAACATCCATCATTTTATGTAGACAAAATTAAAGAAACAGAAAAAGATTTTTTCCTTGTGATTAGAACTCTTAAGGTTTACTCTTGTAACAACTTTAATATATAACATATATATGAGCACTGTATATGATAGTGGTAATTCTATTTGTTCATATCGTACGTTACATCCCAGGTACTTATTTATCTTATAACTGGAAGTTTGTGCTTTTGACAGACTTCTTCCAATTTCCCCTTCCCCCAACGACTGCCTCAGGTAACCTGATCTCTCTTTCTATGAGTTTATTTGTTTGTTTGTTTGTACATGGTTCCTTTGAAAATCTTCCATTTTAGTAAGTGATCAGTCTGTTTTGGTTTGGAACGCATATTCTGACCTGCTTTTATGGGCTGTAGCTCAGCTATGAATTTAGCTTTCAAAGCCTTTGCAGTGTGACTCTTGTCTCCCTCACGTGTGTGCTACC